CTGGCATGGCAGTGTGCTGTGCCGAGGGGTGAACTCCTGCCGAAGTTACGCCGGCGACATCTAACTCCTGAGCTGAAAAGCTTTATCGATTTTTAAGGGCGCTTTTAAAGGAAATAAGATCTAGACGCGATTTTCGGTTAACGGCTTGTAACCAACATTATTGTCTGTTTGAAAGTTGAAGATTCATAAATCACTAAAAATTATTCCGTTACTTTTATGACAGTTTATATTATCAAGACTAAAAGAATTTTGGACTTCCATTATGTCATTACTTATTTTACTTACACAACACTTCGGTTAGAAGTATCACTGACCGTTATCAAGTGTGAACTAATCTAAATCCTAAAACTACTGGGCTTATATACCTACAACAGCCGACCATTCACCCGTCAATTAGATGCTTCCAAAACTAAAACAGGAAGAGAGATAATAGTATTTGGTCCGAAAAATAAAAAATACTCCGAACCAATAAGCACTTACCCCTGCATCTTTCAGGGAGAAATCTACGCTATTGAAAGATGCGTACAACTTGTATAGGAACTATCGGAAACAAGATAGAGCCATCTTTTCCGATAGTCTTAAGAGCCTTAAAAGCAATCAACTCAGAAACCAATACGAAGTTGATCAAATAATGCCTAGAGAAGCTGAACAAATTAAAGTCCTCCTACACGGGGTGAGAGCCCACCATGTAATAGAAGGTAATGAAAAGGCAAACGATCTAGCTAGAAAAGGAACACTTTGCTAATTGGGCCAGAACCGTTCTTCCTCCCAAGTGGAAACCAACTTAAAGCGGAACTTAAGAACCTGGAAGACACCATCCATTAGTTATCTGAAATACAAATTCTCCAACGGTCTAAGACTCGAAGAAATTTCAAAGAAAAATCAAAGATTGTTCTTGATTTAAGTAAGAACAATCCTCCGGGTGCCCGGTGGCGTAGAGGTACAGCTCTCGTTTACCAATTCAAAGGTTGTGGGTTCGAATCGCACAGCCGGCATTTCATCAGCCTACTATTTTTAATAAAAATAGTTTGGGTACCTAGGTCGACTCAGCCTTAAATGAGTACTTGGGATTCACAATCCTGCAGTAATAATAGGCGGTTGAAGCGTAGTGCTAGCCGCATTACCTTCCTTGTATACCGAACGACTCTAGCATGTCAAGTTGTACCTTGCCTACTAACAAGGTGTTAAACGCTATGTACGGGAGCTATTATTATTATTATTATATTATCCTCCTCCTCCTAGGTGCCGTCTCCGTTGATGTTGGCGACCACTATGGCAAAATCTTCCCTATGTTGGACTCGATGTATTAAAGTATTCCCGTTTGAAATATTTGTCCAATCTCGTATATTTCGAAGCCACGATTTCTTCTTCCTTCCTATGCCGTGCTTTCCCTCGATTTTACCTTGAAGTATTAGCTGAAGCTGTGAGGTAAGCGGTTTTCCTTATTTTTGTTGTGTTGACTAAGTGGGTACGGGTGTTCATTGTTGTCAGTACTTCCACATTTGTGGTTCTAGTGGTCCAGCTTATACGTAGCATTCGCCTATAAAGCCACATTTCGAATGCCTCCATCTTCCTGAGGTCCTCCTGTTTTAGGGTCCAAGTTTCGCACCCGTATAGCAACAAAGGCCAAACGTAGCACTTGAATGTTCTCAATCTTACCCCTATGGACAAACGCGGGTTGCAGAGTACGCTTCGCATCTTAACGAATCCTGCACGAGCGATTTCTATTCTCCTTTTAATCTCTATAGAGTGGTCGAGCTGACTGTTTATTTCCCTACCCAGGTAACAGTACTTTTTTACATTATGTAAAGTGGTGTTATTAACAACAATGTCCAATTGAGGGTGATCTTGAGAGGTCCGAGAAAACACCATAGTTTTGATCTTAGATGCGTTTACCTCCAAACCTATTCTGGTACTGTGCTCTGTTAGGATGTTCATCAGAGTCTGTAGCTGTTCTTTAGACTGTCCGATCACTACGGTGTCATCTGCGTAACGTAACGGAGATTATCATGGTTTTTTAATAGGCCACTCTCTCTCTCCCTGAAAATGGGGAAACACCAGCAGAAAACTTCATAACGGAGTGCGACGAAACGATAATCGGATATGGAAAAAATAACTTCTGTAAAACCACTAAAAAGGGTAATCACCCATTATAGATCTATTGTATCCCTCTTTCTTGAGTTACAACTCATCATATAGTGTTAGAGCTCTGAAACCAGTATCTAAGACCGTTTTATAGAGGTTTACACTCTTAAAAGGTTGTAAACACGAACACAGAAGATACCCTGAATCTTGTCATCATCTTTTATAAATTAAGATACCTGATTACGCAATGTGTAATATTTTTGGATTTCAATCCCTTTAAAAAAGAGATCAGAACAGCTATTACATCCGAAATCGTTTTGGTAAGGGCCATTTTCGAAGTCGTTTTTAGCGCTATTAAATCCAAAATACGACCTAGGTGTGATGATTGCTCACACAAAAACATTGAAGTGGCTACATCAAGCTAGATTGTCGTATTAAATTGACGATCCAGGTTACCATTCAGAATTATTTCCGTCAAAATTCTGGAAAGAGCCATTGAGAGTTTGGTGGTCAACGGGATAGTCAATAAGAAAATAAAGAATTATATATACAAGTATTTTGTTATCAAATTTAATAATTAAATAAATGTTTACAAAACACCGATATTATAAAAACCGAAAAGAAAATAATTAAGTTTGATATTGATTTAAAAACATTTTTGTCAGATAGCGCCATCTGGTCGGAAGTTTTTGACTGTCCGGCCTTTATCGATTCATTAGAACATAGACCACTAGAAAATAAACTGCGGTGTTCAAACAACAAAAAAAAGATATGTTAGATTAGCTGGATAGACTATGTGGCAGGATTGCCAGACGTTCGGGATATCCGGGAAGGTAAGTTGTCTCGGATTTCGGAAAGTCATTGTACAATCCCGGAAAGCGTCGCTCAAATTATAAAGTGAAATGTTATAAAGTTCACAAAGTAAAAATACATACTTATGCTTAATATTATTCCATCACATTTTTTGATTTGGCTTCGTTCGTTTATACCGATTTGGTCATTTTAGAAGTGTGGTCTGGATTCTAATGTGCAAGACAGGAAATAATATAAATGACTGGTTGATAGAGAGACAAAATCAAAAGCGGCATACAGTGTCGCCGGTTTTTACGTTTATAGGAAAATTTGTGTAGAAAAAAAAACAAACTATTTTAAAAACTTTCATAATATACAGGGTCCGGCAATAGTGCGTCGGGCATCTATAGCTCCAAGAATAAAAAACTTGAGAATTTTGTTTAAGTGCAAACCTAAAGTATGTACCAGGATGTATGTCACGAAAATATTTTAACTTCTATAGGGTGGCTCAAAAAAGTGTTAGTGGACCTGGTTGATTTTTTTAAATGGAACACCCTGTATATTATTGCATTTTTGGAGTCCTTTCAGATCACTTTACATAACCCTAAGATACGAATAAATATATTTCGATAGTTTCAGAGATATTAAAAAATAAATCAAAAATATATATTTTTCAACCCTTCTTAAAAAAATTATTAAAAATACAAGAACTGTTCTGAAATCAAAACTATATTAGGTATTTACTTTAGATGGTCTGTACTTGTTTTGCTATAAATATGAAAATCGTAAATCATACGGAATGTTCAAAATTCTACGCCAAACTTTCTAAAATATAAAATATTTTTTCTTCGTTTTTTTAAATAGAACACCCTGTATATTATTTTTTCAATAGACGGAGAATTAAAAAGTGACCATTTTTTGTATTTAAAGTATTTCAAAATTTTTAACGGTTTCGCAGATATTTGCGGTTTTATATTTCATGGCATTTTCTACAGCAAATTTTTATCAAAGCCACCCAATGATTTTTCTCTCGTACTTTACCATTGAAAGCGCCATATGAAATAATACTGCGTGTATCTGCAAAACCGTTAAAAATTGTGAAATACTCTAAATAAAAAAAATGTTTATTTTTTAACTCTCCATCTAATAAAAATATAATATACAGAGTGTTCCGTTTAAAAAAACAAAGTAAAAATATTTTATATTTTAGAAAGTTTGGCGTAGAATATTGAACATCCTGTATGATTTACGATTACCATATTTATGGCAAAGTAAGAACAGACCATCTAAAGTAAATACCTAATACAGTTTTCATTTCAGAACAGTTCTTGTATTTTTAATAATTTTTTTAAGAAAAGCTGAAAAATATATATTTTTGATTTATTTTTTAATATCTCTGAAACTAATCGAAATATATTTATTCATATCTTAGGATTATGTAAAGTGATCTGAAGGGAATCCAAAAATGCAATAATATACAGGGTGTTCCATTTTAAAAAAATCATCCAGGTTCACTCACAGTTTTTTGAGCCACCCTTTAGAAGTTAAAATATTTTCCTGAAATACATCCTAATACATACTTTAGGTTTGCACTTAAACAAAATTCTCAAGTTTTTTATTCTATGAGCTACAGATGCCCGACGCACTATTGCCGGACCCTGTATGTACTATTGGAATGAAGATAATATATCTAAGCTAAATATAATCTATTACATCTGCAGTAAAATGAGTAACTAATAGTGAAAAATAAGGTTCCAATCCTAGATGTAACATTTTCCATAAACGCCTACTTGTGCGGTTTGAACTTTTGATGCAAAATCCGGCAATACCGCATAGAAGAAATGTATCAACCCAACTTTTACCTCTTTTTAATACAATTAATTTTCCATTAAGCTGCCTGCATCACTATCTTACACGTTAAAAACCAGACCACACTTCTAAAATGACCAAATCGGTATATCTAGTTATTTACCGTCATTTATGTTATTTTGGGAACTCTTTTTTGCCCTCCCGGAATTTAGCTACAAAATATGGCAATCCTACTATGTACTAGAACTGGATTCTTGCTATTACAAATTCTATTTATCGCATAATAAATTGTGGAAATTATAACACAAATCCAGTAATATTAAAATAATATATATTTACATAAAATTTTACTACATTTAATACAGGTCTGTTTTTGCGATATAAACACATTAATAAATTATTTGTATATACTTAAGTATCAAAATCATATCAAATACTGTCGGCTGTAAAAAATCAATCCTTCAAGTACCTACATCTCATATTTTATACCTAATTTTAGTTCACCTATGCAACTAACAATTATTGTAACAAACATGTTATTAATAAAGTAGTTATAAAACTATTCACGTACTTCATACTTCACATTTAAAACAACTGGTTTTGTTCCGCACTTACATTCAAACTCTTACATTTTTATATTATACGTATAATATATAATGGACAACAGGTATGTACTGTTTTATTTGTATAACTCTAGTTAGACACAGAATAAAAATCCAAAAATAAATGATAATCTTAGTAAGATAATTTGCTTAAAAATAAATGAATTATAAGACTATCAGTCGTTAATGAATTCTAAAAATATAGAAAAATATTTATATTACTGAACTTTAGTCATGCTGTATAAAAAATAATTTCAAAATGTTCATCTCAAAGCGTATTGCACATTAATATGTTTTAGTTTGTATCACTTTAAAAAACATAAAGTTAATTGAACCGTTACATCGAGAAAAAGAGAAGGCCTAGGGTATTACCACAGCGTTTTCATTAGACAGCCAGACGACTTTAGACACAGCTAATTTTTACACTCGCTCTTCTAGTACGCATGCAGGCAATCAGAGCACCAGTGTCTTTACTTTTTATAAACGGAGCTTCAATAAAGCTCAGAATCCCGCTTGGTACGTAACATAAAATAAGTGAATATCTAGGAATACGCTGTGGTATTACTATGTGTGACGTCATCAAAAGAAGGTGATGGACGGAAATCTCAATAAGCGGAATCAGAATATTTAAAAAAATAAACAATAAAACCGTGTTCCCGTAATATATCTATACGCCATAGATATTTAGTATAGACATACGAAATATTCAAGATTATAAATATACAGATTATAAACTTATCGTCAAAAGCATTGTTTTTCGTGGTTCCAATTTTCGGAGTCGCGCACTAGTTACGTTATTAATTTGCGCATAAGCACGCCCACTTATGGCCTCTAAAATTGTGCACAGCGCCTGCCCGGCCTTGTGACCGGCCCAGTTATTACGCTGTTTAAACGGGAGTTTATTTTTGCGCACAAGAAAATTTACTTGTTAATTATCAAGAAATAGGGACAAGATTTTTATCTGTATACTTATAGGATACCTAATCTCTGATATAATGTTTTATAATCAGGCGAATTAAGGATAATACCGTGATAAAAATAACGGCATCCAGTTGACTTGGAAATGACGATCGATAAAATTTTCCATATAATTTTACATATAAAATGACAGCAATTTTCATTTCATAGCCATCGCTGACGCCGTTTTTTTTTCGATTATATTGTATTATAGTACATAGTAAGTAGAATAGAGATAATTTTTATACATTTTTAGTACTTCTCATCACAGTTAATAAAAATTAAAAAATAATTATTTTTATTACCACTTTAAAGAATCCAGTAAATAGCAACCATGCCTAGTATTTATTAATAAGAAAAATGTATTAAATTCATCAACATTTTCTAACTTAGGATAACATAATAACTTCTTAAAAAATCCAGCTATATTTGTCCCATCAAAATCATCTAGATTAATAGCCACAAATCGTTTTTTTGTTAAGTTATAATTGCTTTATATCCCGCTAACACTAACTAGACTTCATGCACATCTACTCTTGAATAAGATATAATATATTTAATGACAAAAAATCACTTAGAAATCAGGCACATTGTCATTCAAAACTAAACGCCTTCGTTCGATGACGTCAGATTCTTACGTCAGAGATATTAGGCCTTCTGCTAAGACGGTAATAGTTGAACTTTTAAATAGTTTAATTTGTTAAATTCCTCATTAGTTTCTGTTCGTCACGGACGATTTTAAGTTGGACCACGCTTCCTCAATTGGAGCCAAAGCTGTTATGACTATAAGAGCTATCACAATTATTAAAACTATCACTATATAAATCGCTAAGATGAATTTTCTGAACGTTGAAAACTGAAAAAGAAACCGTTATTAGATATATTTTTTTTAATAATTAAAAAGTAATAATATTACCGGAGCATCTGGGTTTCTGTCAGTATATGCTGACGTTCTACCAGATCCGCCTAAATCTTTCATTGGAAATGATGTTATTCGATTTTCTCCAGATCTCTCAGCAACACAGTTCATTACCTAAAGAAAAAAATATTTATTTTAAACTATATGATAAAATTTTAACTAAAACGCTAAATAACAAATGACTTACCGATAATACTAAATGGCTAATAACATGAATTACAACATATGCTACTAATATCCAGTCTACAAATTCTGGCAGTTCTGCTTTGGTCAGTTTGACAGCAAAGAAGAGCGTTACAACTAAAAAAAAAAGAAAGTAAAGACAAATATTAAATTATTCTCTCATACTATTTCCGAAGTCAATTGAAAGTACTGGGTTTCTTAAGGCGCGATTCTCACTATAACCGTTCATTGAAGAATAGCGGATAAAGAATACTGTACCGTAGTTCAACTTTCAGTCGACAGAGTGGGTTGCCGGAGACAGTGGTGCCAAAACTACGGGTTAATCCGTAGATTTACGGATTTTGGGTACAGTGCGTTAATAATAAGGATTTTCTATCATTAAACAATTTAATATAATATTATGTGATTAAACAAATAAACAAAGAACGACGTCAGAGTTGGCTTAGAAATGAAGATCACTGTTATTTCATATTATCTAAATTATTATGGTAAATCTCAATAGTCGTCATTTCCAAGCCAACTAAACGATTTTTTTCGATCATACGAAATATTCAGTACCTATAAAAGAATGTTTATAGGTAGTAGTATTTATAGTAGTAAGAATCGCGCATAAATTCGTTTGTCCAGACGATACCGACAATGGCAATACCAACAAAGACAGTGGCTAAATTAAGGTGTCAGTCTATTTCAATTGGCTTCAGAAAAACTATACCAATCTATTTAAAAATATTAAAATCAAGCTCTATAGTTAATTTTTAACCTAATATAGTTTACGCCAGTTAAAGTTCGATAACTAATTTTAAAAAAACACTTTTTCTAGTGAATTCTAGCATTAAATTTATTCTGCTGTTTGACTAGTAGTCTACTATCTTCTAGCAGCTGCCTGTAACTTACTATTCAGAAATTAGGAGCAATATTTATATCCAGGCATTTCAAAGGAATAAAATTTGTATTAAAATTAAAAAACTAGAGAATCAAGAAAGAAATGATTAAAACCAAAGGGGTGAAAACATCATTCGTGAACTGTCGACTGATCAATTGAGTCAGTGAACTGAGTCAATTACCCGGTAGCGACTATAATTAATTAATTATTAAGCGACGAATATAATTTTTGAGGTTAAGTACAGTTCGTCTGCTGGATCTGTGTCTATCAAAGGAATGCGGACAAAAAATATTTAAATAAACAGCAATATATTTTATACGTCGACTTGACGAGTACGTCACCGCAAATCGCTCCGCGCAGTCATTTTATTGGCTACTTGCAAATTTGTCGAATTTTTATTGATGGGATGCGTCGTCTAATTTTTTACGAAAAACATCGAGAGAATATCGTTTCCCCTCTCACGGATACCCCGTAGCCACAGAACGGACAGACGTACTGTATAAAGGCAAATATTTTAATTTTGGTTGTTTTATTTTGTTAATGTTTTCCTGTAATTTTAAGGTGAGTGGATCAGTTTAAATATGGAGGTGATTCAATGTTCTTAGAAGTTTTGTTTGTTAATTTCCACCTGTTGTACAATATAAAGATTTTTACTGACAACCTTTAGTAAAGGTTGCTCTCACTAGCGACTGCTAACAATTATAATTATCTACTAGTAAATGTAGATATTTTTTTAAAGTAGAAAATTCACTGGTCCATTGAGTAATTGTTAGCATTTTCTAGTAATTGTTAACACTTACTGAATTTCAGACTTTCACTATAACATACCATACGATCAAAAAAAAAACGGCGTCAAAGATGGCTGAGGAATGAGAATCGATGATAATTTTGGCGAGGTCAAAAGCCGCTAAACAGATTTTAACCAAATTTGGCACCAAAATACTGTCGCACCCGAGAATCTGGCCATTAGTTTTTGGTGGGGGTGGGGGGTTGGTAAGGGGGTATGGGAGGGGGTTAAAAATTTTAAAAAATCGTCACTCCAAAATTACAGTAGCTAGCGAAACGCAGTTTTCAATTTAAGATTATGAATAATATTTGCAACAAAATTTGTAATAACATCAAAATCAGTCAAAGTCGCAGTTTTTGAGATATTCCGTGTTTCCGTAGTCCGTTTTTGAGAAAATCCGTGTGGAGAACTCCAAACTCCCATCGGACACGACCCCAGGTGGCGGATAGGGGAAATAACCGCGGACCAAAATTGGAAAAATTCCTTTACATTGAAATTAAAAGAACTGCCTACCGACTTTTTTAAATGGAATTCGAGAAACTATGTTTTTTTGGAAATAAACTTGTATGTTTGGAAACATTCTATCTTTTTTTAATATTTCTATAATTAGTGTTAATTTTCTTTGTGAAGTTTTATGTCAATTTTTAGTAAATGAGGTCTAGAGATTGACCTCGCAAAAATTATCATCGATTGTCATTCTCCAGCCGCCTTTAGCACCGTTTTTTTATTATACGGTATTATCAACTTACTTGCAACGATATGGGCTGCATTGCCAATACCCCAATGTAACCAATTGAAGATAGCTCTCTTTGGTGTACCAGGATGCGGCCTGAAGTAGGCTCCAATTGGTTGTATAAAGCACAATATTGTGGTAACCGTTCCTAATATGGCATGAGGTTTATTTTCACCCGACCATGCTTTGAGCTCGACAAATATCAGGACAAAAGCCACTATTGTCAGCGCCCAAGTGAGTACCATAAAGGTTCTATGCCACTAAAAACAACATAAACATTTTAATAATAATTTATAAAAAAAATAAATAACAAATTTTAATAACTATTCACAAATAATATGATACTCCATACTAAACGCAATAAAGATATATGTTAGGCTAAAGTTTTTATTCTTTATTTATTTATTTTTTACGGTTATTTTCACAAGAATAAAAGTAAAATATATTAAAAATTATTCTTATTAGTTTTATATTAAAATTATTATTTACATTTACAACAAAAAAATGATACATTGCTTTATAATACTTACTGCAAACCACATATCCTTTCCAAACATTTGGTGTCCAACCCAGGTCTGTCTATAATATCGGGCCAACAAAATTCCGATTGAAGCTGTTCCTAACCAGGCTGCTAACATGAAACATCCGTGTAAACGAATCAACAATTTTGATTTGGCAGCTAACGCCGAAACGTCAGCTAACGCTTGAGGCTCAGCACTAGCTAGATAAACGATGTCGTGGAATGAGACGGAATTAGCTAAAATTAAATATAGAAAATTATAAAGAAAATAAATCATGCAGAAATGAATTACAACGTGTTATTACAGATTAATTCAAGAGCTTTAAATATTTTTTCGATATATTTTTTCAGAAGTAACAGGCACAAAAGTATTTGAATCATCCAACATTTAGATATTTCTAATATTTGAACAAACATTTAGTAAGCAAGAGCTTTTGGAAAACAAAAGGTAAAAACACCTTATGTACCTATGTAATACTAAATTAAAAAAAATAAATAGATATTGCTCTGTAGGAATGTTAAATAGAAGATGTTTATTAAAGTTATTGCAATAACCACAAAACATATGTAATTATGTTAATAAAGATTTAATTTTTGCATTTATACACTCAGAGGCAAAAAAACGCAACAGAAAAATTTTTCAAGTTTAAAATATTATATTTTTTTTTACTTTTAGCCCTATTTTCACGAATTTTCTAGCAAACTGTATATAAATCTATCAACTTCAATTCACAAACTCAGTTTTTTATAAACTTTTTTTTGGCTTAAAATTATTTTTTGGCTTAATTAGTATTTAAAGTGTATTATCTGGTGTCTTACGTTTTACACTACTTCCAGCTGCAATTAGTAAATTGTATTTTCCACTAACTAAATCATAAAACCTTCCATTAACGTTTGTGGAAACATCTCTTCGCACCTTACAGTATATCGTACCATCTACCAAACTGCTGTTTAATAGTTGAATTCCAAGTTGTGGCTGTAACAAGAAATAAGAAGTGTCTAATATTAAGTGATCGTTAAAAAATAACAATCGGGTACAACCCACCAAATTCACAAATTTAAAGAATTAATTTTGAGGAACCGAAGCTATTAAAAACGAACAATAATTTTTAGAATTAATTCGAAATAGAAACTTCACAACAATATTGTCCCTGATTCAAATAGAAAACTAACTTACATTAGCTAATCTGGGCGCACCATAATTTGGAGCGGTAGTGTAAGACATATATGCGGCTACACCATTTCCTCTCTTCACACATTCGATGACTGAGTCGTCGCCCATTTTGTCGTCGTCAGATAAACCGACTCCAACCCAGGCTGCATTACTGTCCGCCTTCAATTCAAAGTCATATCTATCACCAGTAACTATCACTCCAACCACCTGAAAATAACAGGAAGCAAAACTGTACCTACTACATTAAAGTTACTAGTCAAATTATGAAATACCATAATTTTTCAATAGAAAGTACCTTATAATAATATAATTTTTATAATATATATAAACTAATTATTCTAGACCTAGACCATAGAAGAGACAGTCAGACAGCACATAAGATCTCATGAGCGCAAAGGTATAGTCAAGACTCCTCCGCAAATGCCTAGATATAGAATGTATATGAAGTAGGTTAATCACCGCGACCTTACAGATCTATTGTGTCTTAAGTCCCCATCTTGAGTTATAACTGATCATACGGTCTCAAAGCTTTAACAACAGCAGGAAAGCAGAACTGTTCTGATCCAGTTAGCGTCCTTTTCTGACTAGATCGTTTGCTTTTTCATTGCCTTCTTACTTACTTACTGCCATTACTCGCTGCCGAGTATTTGACACGCATCTGAAGAGGGTTACGCAAGGTGTTTTTTTCATGACCTTTCTGTGACTGAAAAGCCCGATACGTGATGTTATTTCTCTTCCGCACTCCGGACATTCAAAAATCTCATTACTTTGTTGCCTCTTTACTTTTTGGTTGTCGTTGTTAACTTAGTTTAGAATTGTTCTCCATTGCGTTCTATTGTGCGTTACTTCCTCCCACTAATTCTGAATGCTTATCACCTTTAAGTTTTCATGGAAAACATCCTTGTATCTTTTGAGTTGTCCACCCGGTTTCCTCTTACCATCTACAAGCTTACCGTAAAGAAGAGGCTTCGGTAGGCGGTTCTTTTGCATCCTGCATACGAGGCCGCCCATCTTAGGATTTAGTAATAATGACTTCAGCGCTCTCGCAGCTAGCTTTTTCAAGGACTGATAAATTTGAGACATGGTGGTACCATTTGATTCTTAACAGTTGCCTAAGATGTCTCTGTTGCAACTTGTTTAATGCGTTCATGTGCCGGCGGTACGGCACACAGGTTTCTCTTCCATATAACATGGTGAGGATTATTATTACTCGGTAAACTGCAAGTTTCGTTTTTGTGCTCAAGTCGTGATTGTAGAAAACCCTGTCTTTTAATTTCCAGATTGCTCTTGAGGCGCTGCTAATACTGTGCTGAATTTCAGAGTCGATATTTGCCTTTTCCGAAACCAAACTGCCGAAGTAATCGAATCCGCTACATATTCCAGTAGTTCTTCTCCGATTTTTATAGCACAGGATTTTTCGGGGGAGTGCACATGATTTTAGTCGTTAGTTAGTTATCGATATCCAGCTTAAGGCTCAAAGCCACGTATGCCCAGGTATATATGTGTTCAGCATTTCTTGTAACTGCTATAACGTTTTTGCAACTAGAGCGCAATCATCAGCGTATTGAAGTTCTGTGATGAATTTTATACATGTTTTTGCCTTAAGTCTTTTTATGTTGAACAGATCGCCGTCATACCTGTATCTAACACATATTCCTCTTTCCTGCAGTTTGCTGTCCACTGTAATAGAGAGCGCTGCCATGAATATATTGGATAGGAGAGGAGCTAAGACACATCCCTGCCTAACTCCTATATTTGTCAAGGAGGGATCGCTCAGTAATCTATGATGTGACTATAAGAAATTTGTTGGGTACTCCGAACTTTTGCATAAAAGCCCAAAGTGCATCTCTGTTTACAGTGTCAAAAACTTTTGACCATTCTTTAGTGGGCTGACACCTACAGTAGGAGGACTTTATTTTTTTGCCTAATTTAATTCAGCTTCCTTAGGCATTCTTTGACCCACATGGAATTGATAGTTACTAAGTTGATCGCTTTTAATGCTGCTTGACAATCGGATAAGATGACTATTTCTTGTTTCTAATAGTTCCTATCTCAGATAAGTTGTATGCATCTTTTGATAGCGTAGATTTCTGCCCGAAGGAAGCTGAAGTAGGTGCCCATTGGTTCGGAGTATTTAATTTTTAGCACCAATACTCATATCCCGGTTCCTGCTTTGGTTTTGGGAGCATCAAAATCAATTAAAAAAAGAACACTATTATTATATACTTTCAATTTAAAGAGAGCAATATTTTGCCATTCTTTAACTCTGAGTGGACTCAACTATACAGGGTCGCAGTTATGTATGGAAAGGGTCGATTTTTAGATAAAATATAGGAGGTACCGCAAAAAGTTAAATATAAAATTTATAGGATTTATAAATTTATTTTATTATAGCGGGTAATAAATTTAAATATACAGGGTCGGTCCTAAAATCGTGGCAAATCAAAGTTTCATTCTTTTAAATAGAACCCCCTGTATATTATTGCATATTTTGGTTCTTCCTTCAATTCTAAGCAAAGATCGAAATAGACACAATGTACCTCAAACCAACCGTTTCCAAGTTATTGACTTTTGAAAATATCACTTAAATAGTTAGATTTAATTAGTTTCGATATGTTCAGTTTCATTTAACGATGCCATTCTGCCGAACCTGTGATACTTAATAATATTTGACATTAATTCTCGAGTTAGCATTGTAACGAATATATACATTATACATTTATTTGTTATTTTATATATATTATTTATACATTATAGATGTATAAAATAAGAGTATATCAAGTCTGGAAATTACAAAAGTTTCGTTTAACATTTCAATTCTTCAGTGTATGTACATTGTGTATTACGATTATTGCTTAAAATTGAAGAAAGAATTGAAATATGCAATAATATACAGGAGGTTTCATTTAAAAAAAAATAAAGTTTGATGTGACACAACTTTATGACAGACCCTGTATACTTAAATTTACTAGTAGCTAATAGGAATTTAAAAACCCATTACAACAGTATCACAGTTTCGGCAGAATGGCATCATTAAATCAAACCAAACACATCGAAATTAATTAAATCGAATTGTTTAAGGATATTTTCAAAAGTCGATAACTCGGAAATGGTTAGTTTGAAGTACATTGTGTGTATTTCGATTTTTGCTTAGAATTGAAGGAAGAATTGAAATATGTAATAATACATGGGGGTTCTATTTAAAAAAATGAAACTTTGATGTGCCACGACTTTACAAACGACCCTGTATACTTATATTTATTACTCGCAAATAGATATTTAAAAATCGTATAACTTTTGTATTTAACTTTTTGCGGTACCTCCTATATTTTACCTAATAATCGACCGTTTCCATACATAAAAGCGACCCAGTATACTTAAATCAATTTTATTATTTATTAAATTTGCTACATCAATGCTGTCTCTCAAAAATTGGAATAAATATCACAGCAAAAAAACTCCACTATACTTACTGCCTTACAGCTCTTCGAACTAACGCAATCAGCTGGAGCCCCAAAACACAATTTGTTCACAGCACATCCATCATAAAATGGATCGAATTCAGTCGAACTCTGTTTCGGTTGGTATGGCACAAAATTCGGAGGTGTTCTGGAACTGGGTTCGGTAGGAAAATTGAAGGTAGGATCATTTGCACCTCTTTTGGTAATAGGCACAAGGTTGGACTCGATTCCGACCCAAAAAGTATCGTAGGCTTGTGCTATGGTAGCGCTGAAACAAGAAGCAAAAGATAATTAAAAAATGAATTAACTATTACGTAAAGTTTGTGCTATTTAGATTCAAAAATAAAGAATTACCTTAAAAGAATTAAAAATGTTTGTAGGGAACGTTTTCTTTGTGCTTATACATGCTCATTTGTGCTCATACCTGCTATTATACTATGGCACAAATTACCTATAACAGATGCGAAAGAACACCGAATTACGCGTTCAGGTTTCTGTGACCTTCAGAAAGAGTTCATAGACAATCCGCATCAATGTATAGTTTGGGTTATTATTTGTTTGGGTGAAAATAATCTGCACCAATATGTTATCGAGGCATACAAAAAGGTCCACAGACTTCGAGACATACGAAAAATCAAGTCCATTTAGCGTGTGTCGCAATTTTCACACCTTAAAAAATTAGTTTTTTATAGCTATAGCAACTGCAGCGACTATGAAAAAAGCTGTGTGATTTAATAAGGGCACCTGTAATTCATTTGAGAATGTTATAAATCGCTAAAAGAGGTTTCGAATCTCTTGGATTTCTATTAATATTAAATAAATTTTATTAAAAATTGAACTAAAATTGTTAGTATCATTAAAAACAATTCAAATTCAAAAATTGTATCAGTCAAATTCCCTCATTTAAGGTGAATATTAAAGTAAATATAAATACAGCTCATTCTAAGCTCTACTTGGCTCTACTTATCTTTAAGAAAAATTTAAATCATTGTTGCAATTGGGCCTTAATGCCATTTCGAATGAACAATAGTATTAATAATGTACATTATAATAATAATAAATTTTATATCATAGTGTGTATTAAAACTACTAAAACACTTTTAAATTGGTATTATATTAACAACTTTTGTTTTTTAATCCAAAAAAAGTTACCAATTTTCTCAATCAAAATATTTGTGGTCCTGAAAAGGACCTTCGTTTTCCATGTTCGTCAAGGTAGGTAATGGGTAAACGGTAAAAAACAGGATAATGAAATTTAAAAAGTACAAAAATTGTTCAAAAGTGCCTCCCTCTTGCATTAAACAATAACCCAAACGATCATAAATCCCTCCTCGCATTGGATAACATATCAGGGGTGACAGTGTCAAAGGCATTAAATATTTTCTGCCTTAACTGCTCCAAGTTTTGAATTTCTTCATGGCCGTAAATTTTAGATTTTATGTACCCTCATAAAAAGAAATCATTCACCGAGAAGTCAGGTGAAATTAAACGTCAGTCTAAACAAAACTGTCATTTTTGAAAACTTGTCAAAATTTGGACACACGCTAAATGGACTTGATTTTCCTATGTCTCAAAGTCTGTGGACTTTTCTGTATAATCTCACAGTAATTTAATAGATTGCTCGTCATATTATATCAACTCGTAGGAGATTAGGAAAAAAAAGATATTTATAGTATAAAAAATTAATTTATTTAACAAAATTTAATTAAAGATGTGACAAAATAGTTACATTTCTATTGGTTCTATCGGACTTTTTTCGACTATATAAATCTTTATTTTTTGTAAACTTTAATGCATAAAATATTTTCAATCTAAAAAATAATTTAATGATGTAAATAAGAGGAAATTTCTCACATGGATGGTCAAATTCTATAGTTTTCATTATATCAAACAGCCCAAATTTCAAAAGTTAGTTTTGAGTCGATATTTCCGTATGTAAGAAGAGTACCTACAATACGTTTATAATGTACTGAACAAAGAGAGAAAAGTAAAAACTTTGCCAAACGTATAAAATAAACCGAGAAACTGTGCACATTGCTAAGAGACATCTTATAATTCCATTTCAGATGCTCAGAAACATATCTAATGATTTTATTTAGTTATCTTTTCGAAAAAAAAAGTCTTTTAAAAATAAGCGGTTTGCGATCGTGATTTTACTTTACTTGATAAAGAAAGGCGTGCCGGAAAAATGTGACAACGCCGCAACAGCACACCGTCGCATTACTCTCACTCCGACTTAATAAGATCCCTATGGGATTTACTTCCACACATGTAAATACCGACCCAAAAGTTAGAGTTGCCAGCACGGTATAGGAACGTCCCATCATCACGAATTTAAACGTTCTCTTCATTACCACACTAGTGGATAGTATAGTAAATATTAATATAATTTACTGGTTGTAACGCCAAGAAGTATACTTATAAGAGACTATTATAAGACTAAGGTTTAAATTATGAACCCAATAAGTTTTTAACTTTGAAATTGTATTTGAAAAACTTTTTTGTCCATAACTATTTTCAACAACCAATTAAATGGCACACTACAAAAAATGCCAATAAAGTAAATCAAGCAAAAACAACATAGTTTATTAAAATAGGCGGAAAAATGCAAGTTATTATAGATTCAACCTTGATACCGTGAAGCAAATGACCACACTTGATTGCAGCATTTTATATTAGTAATAAGAAGTGTTACGCATCAATAATGGCGATGTAAAATGCAAGTCACATTTATTAAAACAACTGTGACATCTATTTATAACTCTCTATGTTATACGTATAGTTATAGGTAGCTTAACTATTTGATATTTTTTTATATTTTCTTTTCTTTACAGATTCTTTCTTCGGTTCATTTTCTATTTCTTTTACTTCATTAAAGTCTTAAGTCAGCTTTCGAAAAATTACTTAAAATCTAATGACTTAAGTCATTAAAATGATTTAAATAAAAAAAATACTAATTTTTGTGTCAGTTTGCAGCTCTGTTTCATACAAATACGGGGTGCGTCTCAAAAGTGGCTCACCCCCTTTGGTATGTTAGTATATGACATAAATTAAGGATTGATTGACGTATTCAATAATTGTTTTCAATCACTTCCTGTTTTACCGGAAATGACTACAACTTTTGATTTTTAAATGAGACCTTCGGTATTTTGTTACTTTATTCGATAGAAAATGACACTTCGAATAGAATGACATCATATGTCAACTTTTGACATTTTTGCTTAAAACAAAATTGTATTTTAAATTTCAATCTAGAGTGCCATGGCTGTGTTAAAAACACTAATTTTTAATCAAGGAGCCTTGGAAAAATAGATTGGATCGTCTAATGTTTTTAGTGACTTGTCCTGGCCGGTTAAAACATGCCCAAATCGTTTTTTTAATAATATCTAAATTTTCTCAAATGGAACGAGGGTGGCTCACTAGCATATTAGGAAAAAAAAAATTACGAATAATTTGATATCAGGGCAACGGCCCAGCTACGTCGAAACACCGGTTCCCATTAAAACACCGAAGTTAAGCGACGTAAGGCGATACTAGTGGATGGACGGATGACCGGTTCGAAAATCTGTATCGTGCCGTTGTCCAATAAAGGCAAAAGTGTAAAATCTATTGACACACACTGCTCATTAACGCCGGTTCGAGGCCGGATGAGATCGGATATCTCGTGAGTAAGAGTTGATTTAGACACTTGTCAAGTCGGTAGGCCATTGACCATGATATGACGCCGTTCGGAGGACCGCGGTTCGGATTCCACGTAAACAAAGTAGGCCCCGTCCAGTTAGCCCTGGCAGCAAAAAGGAGAAGTTAACTGAAATCTTTACATTTTACTTTAATTTGATATCACACACTTGGTATTTCGAGTCAAATTCCGTTATGAATCGCATATTGCAATATCAAATAAACCATATCCGAAAATGTCAAAAGTTGACATATGATATGTCATTCTATTCAGAGTGTCATTTTCTATTGAATAAAGTAACAAAATACGGAGGGTGTCATTTAAAAATCAAATGTTGTAGTCATTTCCAGTAAAACAGAAAGTGACCAAAAACAACTGAATACGTCAAAAACAACTGAATACATCAATCTTAATTTATGTCATATGCCATACATACTGCCATTGCTCGCTGACGAGTATTTGACACGCATCAGAAGAGAGTCACGCAAAGTTTTTTCTTTCATGAGCTTTTCCGTGACTGAAAAGCCCGATACGTGATGTTGTCTACCGCACTCCGGACATTCAAAAATCTCATTGCTTTGTTGCCTCTTTACTTCTTGGTTGTCGCTGTTAACTGAGTTTAAAATTCTTTTTTAAGTTTTCGTGGAAAATATCCTTGAACCTTTTGAGTTGTCAATCCGGCCTACTCTTAACCGTTTACAAGCTCATCGTATTAGACAAGCAGAGATTTTGGTATGCGGTTTTTCTTGCATTCTACAAACGCGACCAGTCCATCTTAAGCGGGATTTTGTAACCATGACTTCAATACTCTCGCAGTTAGCTTTTTCAAGGACCGATACGTTGGAGACATGATGGAACCATTTGATTCTTAAGAGTTGTCTCAAGTGTCTCTATTGCAACTTGTTTAATGCGTTCATGTGTCGACGGTACGGCACCCAGGTTTCGCTTCCATATAACATGGTGGGGATTATTATTGCTCGGTACACTGCAAGTTTCGTTTTTGTGCTTAAGTCATGATTGTAGAAAACCCTGTCTTTTAATTTCCAGAATGCTCTTGAAGCGCTGCTAATCACGTGCTGAATTTCAGAGTCGATATTGGCCTTTTCCTAAATTGGCCTTTTCCCTGGCCTTCCTTGGCCTTTTCCCTGGCCTTTTCCCTGGCCAAAACAAACTGCCGAGATAATTGAATTCCGCTACATATTCCAATAGTTCTTCTCCGATTTTTATAGCATTGTTGTGATCTTCCGGGGGAGTGCACATGATTTTAGTTTTATCGATGTTCAGCTTAAAGCCCAAAACCTCGTATGCCCACGTATATGTGTTCAACGTTTCTTGTAATTGCTGTAACGGTCCTGCAGCTAGAGCGCAGTCATATACTAACATACGAAATCTCGATTTTTTATCTGAGAAAATAAAAAAGTTATAGGGGTGAGCCACTTTTGGGACGCACCCGGTATACCGTTCCATACGGTTCCATAGAGAGATATTTTCTATTTTGTACCTTAGTTTCAAAATCTGACAAAAAAATCAAAAGACATACAATTTATCTAACCAACTAAAACAGGTTGACACTTCATGACAGGTCAAAGAAGGATATTTTGCAACTACATCACTATTTGTGCTTAAATAAAAGAACACGAAAATAGAATTAAAACTGCAAGTTGAAAAGGATGTCAACAAAAATCCATATTACAACACAAGTAATTCGTCTACAATAAAAGACCCATTAAGAATTCGACGTCACTGGATTTCTTAACTATTCGAGTTTAGGAATGTAGCGTAAAAGTAACCTTGAATTTAACCAGGCGGTAAGATTTACCTTTCACAGAATTAAAATTCGCATCGGAGTTATTCGAGAGAAGCGAGCGCGCACATGTGTAGAATAGAATGTTAAATAACATATTGAGTAATATCTACATAATAAACAAGTTTTTCTTGATAAATTAATAAGGAAATTAAAAGAGTTGTCCAGTATGCAACAAATAGAAAACGATACACAAAAAAATAAATTTCCTTAATTTTTGTTATAAAAAGTGACATTCAATAGGTAAAAGTGATTTTTACATAATACTACCAAGTCACAGATTAACTTACAGATGTGGCACTTATTTCATCTTGCTGATAAACGCCGCCACGACCTCGGACTTTTAATATACTTTACTTTTTTTCTCGCATGCATTGTTGGCCTTTTGTAAAAAATGTGTTCCCAATTGAAATAATACTTAATCTGTGGCTCAGCTTTTTTGAAGCGATTCATCATATGCATGCGCATTGTATTCGGTTCCTTTAAAGGTTGATTCTCACTATACCTTCCGTTTCCATTCCATATCCGTTCCGTATTTTTTGTTGTATTGACGATATACGTACGCTTCCGTTCCATATCAGTTCCATACTTTGTATTGTACAATTTATATCATTACGAAAGTTTTATTTTAAATATTTTTATCTTTTGAAAAAGGTAATAGATTTAATTAAAAGGTGAAAGCATAAATAAATATCAGCAAAATTTTAACAGAGCTGGTACAAATGTAACAACTTGACAACGCTGTTTCCGATACGCTTCAGTCCGTCCGTCAAAAAAATGTATGGAAGGAAAGGATATGGAACGGAAGGGAAACGAAACGGATAGTGTGCATTGTTCTATTCATTTATATGATATAATATTTTATGTAAACGGAAGGGAAACGGAAGGGAGCTGTTATGGAAGGTATAATGAGAATCAAACTTAAACAGGATATTAAAGGGACCAAATACATCCTTGTTTTATTTAGTTTCTCCGTCTTACTGATAAATCTGTGTTAATCTGTCACCAAGTCATATTAAATGTGCTTCCATAATTTTGAACAAAATATTTCGGTGCTATGTTGTGTAAATGAGTTTTTATTTTAATGTTATAACACACAAATTTAAGCGTAAGGAAAAAAACGGAAGAAGAAACTATTACCAGCGAATATATGATTTGTGGTAGCCGTCAGAGAAATAAGCTATATTCGTAGAAAATCTTTTTTATCGTATCATATCGAGTATTGCTGTATTATAGTTCAGGTACTCATGTTTTTTGAACTATATACAAATACCTACTTATAGAAAAAAAATATATACAGGGTGCCCAATATTCCGTGGACATAGAACTACTACGTATTTTTAGAATGAAAATAAGATCATTGGACACAGTTTACCTCTATACAAAAATGCTTCGTTTGTGTTAGAGGGAATCAAACTTTAAAAAAATTAACACATTTTTTAAGATACTTTAAGAACCTTTATTCCGATTTGAATGAAATTTGGGATGCCTGTGTTTTGCTAAGTGCTTTAACATTTGACTTTCACAAAAATAAAAAAAGTACGGGAAGGGTAAAAAGTACCCCAACACCTACATAAATTTTAGTATAAATATTTGCCAACATAAAGGACGACTGATTTTTTTTTTCGTAATATGGTCCTTCTAATATTTACTACATTTTTTACCTCTTAAAAAAACGCCTCTCTAAGCATATTTTTGAGAAAAAAAATTTCAGATTTTTTTTCCAAACAGACCTACAAAATATACATGGAGTTCCAATATTCCGTGGTTATAGAACAACTACATATTTTTTAAATCGAAATAAGTTAATTGTACACAATTTACTTCTATACAAAAGTGCTTCGTTTGTCCCTTTGAGCAGCGTTTCTTAACCTGTCCGCGGACCCCTGGGGGTCCGCTAATATGTATCCCCCTAGAGGTCCGCCGTCTTATCTATGGACATTTGAATTAATAACTAAATATCAGCAAATTCTTTATCAAATTTTTGGATGAATTTAAAAAAGTTTATAAAGAAATATCAGAAGAAACACTGAAAGATTTACTGCTTTTCTTATCCACATACCTTTATGAAAAGGCATTCTCTACTCTTGTATACATCAAAAACAACATCAAAACAGAGACAGATTACAATTAGAATCTGATTTGATATTACAACTCAGTAAAAACATCAACCCGCATATTACTAATTTGGTTGCAAGAAATCAGCACCAACCTTCACATTAATACAGTATTTTTAATTTTTATAAAAACGTAATTTTTTTTGTACTAAAATAATTTGTCCTAAAATTTCTGCGTTTTTTTAATTAGGGGGGTCCTTGAAGTTGTGCTTGATTTTTTAGGGGTCCGCGAACTGAAAAAGGTTATGAAACGCTCTGCCATAGAGGGCCATCAATCAAAAATAAACCCGAACGTTAATTAATATAAAATTTATGAAGCTTATTATCAAATATTATTTGTGATACTAACATAACATTCCATATTTTCACCAACTAGATTATTAACGCATACCAAATTTTATGCGCCTACATAGCTTGGAGCCTCGGAATTTTTTTTTTCTCAAAAACTACCGGAATGTGACGTCCTTCTACAAGATATAAAAATTGTAGTAAATACTAGAAACAACATGTTACTGAGTTGTAAAATATTTCTACTAAAATGCATGTAGGGGTGGGTGTAGTTTTCAGTTTTCCTGTACTTTTTCTTGATTTTTGTGAAAAGCAAATGATGCGCTTAACAAAACATAGGCATCCTAAATTTCATTCAAATAGGAATAACTGTTCTTAAAATATCTTATAAAATGTGTTTATTTTTCTAAAGTTTCATGACCTCTAACGGACAAACGAAGCACTTTTGTATAGAGGTGAATGGTGCTCAATTAACTTATTTTTATTCCAAACATACATAGTAGTTCTATGTCCACGGAATATTGGGACACCCTGTAATTATAGATAAATTACTTATACAAATCATAATTATTTTAACAGTATTTATTATCTTAATTAATAATAATAGAATGTGTAAATTCCCAGCGTTTAACAATTTTATTTTCTATAATTAAATTCAAATTATACACATGATTCTGATTTATTTTCTGAAAAATATAACGATGATGACGCACACAAAATTTCCCAATAATATTTATAACAAGTGTAAAGATCTAACAACGTTCTTCCATAATTTAGAAAGAAATGTTATACCAAATACGCTTGAATTTCGCTAATAAATTGCCTATACCTCACCTGTGCTCTAGTTGCAAAAACGTTACAGCTATTACAAGAAAGGCTGAACACATATACCTGGGCCTTAAGTTGAACATGGATAAAACTAAAATCATGTGCACTCCCGTGGAAGATCACAAAAATGCTATAAAAATCGGAGAAGAACTATTGGAATGTATAGCGGAATTCAATTACCTCGGCAGTTTGGTTTCAGAAAAGACCAATATCGACTCTGAAATTAAGCACAGGATTAGCAGCGCCTTAAGAGCATTCTGGAAATTAAAAGACAAGTTTTTCTACTATCATGACTTGAGTACAAAAACGAGCCTTGCAGTGCACCGAGCAATAATAATCCCCAACATGTTATATGGAAGCGAAACATGGGCACCGGCACACGAACGCATTAAACAAGTTGCAACAGAGACATCTTAGACAACGGTTAAGAATCAAATGATACCATCATGTCTCAAACGTATCGGTCCTTGAAAAAGCTAGCTGCAAAAGCGCTGAAGTCATGATTACTAAATCCCGCTTAAGATGGGCTGGTCATGTATGCCGGATGGAAGAAAACCTCCTACCGAAATCTCTTCTTTACGGTGAGCTTGCAGACGGTAAGAGGAAACCGGGTGGAGAACTCAAAAGGTACAAGAATATTTTAAACAAAAACTTAAAAAGATAAGCATGCAGAATCAGTGGGAGGAAGAAGCGCACAATAGAACGCAATGGAGAGTCAGTTAACAACGACAAAAAAAAAGTAAAGAAGCAACAAAGTAAATGAGATTTTTGATGTCCAGAGTGCGGAAGAGAGATAACATCAAGTATCGGGCTTTTCAGTCAGAGGAAAGTTGACGAAAGAACACGCCTTGCGTAACTATCTTCTGATGCGTGTCAAATACTTATGAGCGAGTAATGGCAGTAAGTAAGTATCTTCAAAATCTTTAATTTTTAATTAATTTGTTGGTGAGTTTATTATTTTACATGGAACAGTTAATGTAGATTTCTAATTGTTCAGTTGTGGTATATCCAAATACATTAAAAGCCATTAATTTTCTAATTTTGATATGCAAAATTATCTACTTACTTGAAAATTACTGGTCCTTCGTATTCCCTAGGTGGAGTCCAAACAACATTAATACTGGACTTATCATTTGGAGAATTGTGAGTAATGGAATCTGCTGGCTCTGCACAATCCAGTGGATGGCCTTCGTTAATTGTGGAAGAGTCAAATTCCCCCAAGATGGCACTAGAAGCACAAAAAAGTTTGATAATAAATAAATAAAAAATATGTTGGATATTAATTAACAAAACTCTTGGATTATATTAACATTAAGGGCAATTTCATTGATAAAGTTCCTATGTTGAAAATGTAAAGTTTTTCACATAATATTTAACAATTTCATGTTTTAAATCAAAAACTGTATATTTTTTCGCTCAGTGGATTAATCATAAAATTTCTATTCTAAAAATACCATATATTATAATCTATGCCGAGTGGTTTCTGAAATATAACCATTATTAAAATAATTTTTGTAAGAAATTGAAGCTCTCCTAAGTTAATACCGGGTGCGTCTCAAAACTGGCTCATCCCTATAATATTTTTTCAGATAAAAAAACGAGATTGTAGTATATTATATGACATAAATTAAGATTGCTTGACGTATTCAATTGGTCACTTCCTGTTTCACCGAAAATGACTACAACTTTTGATTTTTAAATGACACCCTCGATATTTTTTTTACTTTATACAATAGAAAATCACATTCTGAATAGAATGACATATCTTATGTCAACTTTTGACATTCTCGCTTAATAAAAAATTGTATTTTAAATTTCAATCTAGAGTGCCATGAACAAAAACACTAATTAATCAAGAAGCCTTGGAAAAATAGATTTGATTGTCTAATATTTTTAGTGTCTTGTCCTAGCCAGTTAGAAAATGCCCAAATCGTATTTTTAATCATATCTCAAATTTTTCAAATGGAACGAGGATGGCTCATTAGCATATTTGGAAAAAGCATTTTTTTACGATTAATTTGATACCATACACTTGGTATTTCGAGTCAAATTTTCGTTACGAACCACAAATTATAATTTCAAATAAACCATATGTGAATATGTTGACAGATGATATGCTAATCAGAGTAGTAGCTATTCAGAGTATTATTTTCTATCGAATAAAGTAAAAAAATACCGAGGGTGCCATTTAAAAATCAAAAGTTTTAGTCATTTCCGGTAAAACAGGAAGTGACCGAAAACAATTGAATACGTCAATCAATCCTAATTTATGTCATATACTAACATACCAAATCTTGTTTTCTTTTAACTGAAAAAATAAGAAAGTTATAGGGGTGAGCCACTTTTAAAACGCACCCGTATAGTAAATTCTTTATACTTTTTTATACATAGATTTTCAAACAAGTGTTGCTTTAAAACCAAATTCAGTGGAACACATTATTAAGAATAATATACCGTGTGGTGTGTTGGAACAAGGGACATAGAAAATCCCATGTAAATTGTGAAAAGGTAAAATATTATCTCCCCAGATGATTTTATGTAAAAGTTGTATTAGACTTTTTTAAAAAGGCGTTAAAGCTGTACTTTTGTATAGAATTTCGTCTCATTTGGAATAGTCATTTAAAAGTTATTTGCAAAAATCTACCATCAAATTAGTAAAATTTATAATACGGCCCAGAGAAAGCAACAATTTAAATACCAGCAAAAATGTGATTGTGTCATTGTCAAATTCGATGTCACATTTTGTTTACAATAATTTGAAGGTGCCAAACAGAGTAATGTTGTATAAAATAATTATGAATTTTGCAACTTCTGAAAAAGTTACGATGGTTAAAAGGCATTTTGCTGGGATAGTATTCCCGCTGTGTTAGTTGTGTTCACAGCTCAGTCTCCGGAAAGACTATACCAATATAGTCAACAGTTTAAAGAATAAACCGAAGTTTTGAAACTAAAAGTGTCAAAAATAATTGAACAAGAAGAAAATAAAAATGATTTGAATATTCTTCATAAAAAATGTCTATACCTACGTGGCGGATTCATCTTTCCAAAAAAATCCTTTATGGGTATTTCGCCACTGCACTGCAAGAAAATTTATAAAATAAAATAGTTATTTTTTGTAAACACTTCTACGTTAAACCTAAGCGGACACTGCTTGTCAGAAGTTATGTTTATAGTTATACAAATTTGCCTAACAAAGAAAAAAATGCTTAACGTTTCGGAAAGTTTATCTCTCTCCGTCGTCTGAAGCAAAAAAAATACACAGAATAAGAAAAAAACTATTTAAAATATTTAAATTCAACTATTCGGGAACACTTTACTTTTTTAAAACAGATACGTCTACAAGAAACCATTGATGTTCTGTTAAAATCATGATTATGCAAATTTGTGTGATGTGAGGCAAATTTGTATAACTGTAAACATAACTTCTGACAAGCAGTGTCCGTTTAGGTTTAACGCAGAAGTGTTTACAAAAAATAACTATTTTATTTTGTAGGTTTTCTTGCAGTGCAGTAGCGAAATACCCATAAAGGATTTTTTTTTAATATTCTTCATGTTGAAGAAAAGAAAAACATTGACTCCCGTTTATTGGAGATACAGTAGGAAAAGACCACAGGATCTTTCGCCGAACGACTTCTTCCTGTGGAGCACACTCAAAAACCGCTTTATGGGCATATTAAAAACAAAAATTTAGATAGACTGAAAACAACACCTCTGTGGAATGCTAAAGATTCTCCCCTAAACCAGGTTTGCATTGTGATGCGTGAATTTCACAATCATTTGGGATATTGTCTGGTTGTAAATGGGGAATTATGTAAATATTTTATTAATTAGTATATATTAATAAAGTTCCTTGTGTTACAAATATTTCGATTATCCCTTGAATGTATGTGGTATGAGCGAAGCCTGCGAGTGATCGAGTCATGAACAGCAAACAAGTCATACACCGCGAATACTATTCTCAGTTTATCTAATTCTTTTCTAGATGATCATTCCAATTTAGAAAAAAATTAACTGCCTTTTTAAAACCACAGAAATTCTTGTAAACAAAAAAATGTGACATCGAATTTGACAATGACAAAATTATATTTTTGCTGGTATTTTAATTGTAGCTTTCTCTGGGCCGTATTAACATGTTTAGTAATTTGAAGGCAGATTTTTGCAAATACCTTTTAGATGCCTATTCCAAATAAAACGAAATTCTGGACGACAGTACAACTTTAACGCCTCGTCAAAAAAGTCTAATACAATTCTTGCATAAAATCATCTGGGGAGATAATATTTGACCTTTTCAAAATTTACATGGGATTTCTCGCGTACCGATGCCACCACACGGTATACAGGACGACTCAACTAAATGTTTACTCCACAAATTGAAATGAAACATATATATTTTATGACATAAATAAACGTACCTAGTAGTTTATGACATAAATCAACGTACCTAGTAGTTTTTATTCAATTTTATGCTTTAAAACTAGGGGCCCCTAAGCACTATTTAAACTGACATTAAAGGGAGTCTAGGGGACCCTAAGCACTATTTAAACTGACATTAAATGTTTACTTTTAGCATTTAGACAATGATAAAAAAAATCTCCTGAAACAAATGTGCACCATCCATGTACCGGGTGGCGAACTAAGAATGGACGCCGGCTGTATCTCAGTAACTACGTATCGTATAACTTTGGGAAAAAAAATTCTAATAAGTAAATTGACCAAGAGAAATCGCTGGAAATTATTTTCAAGTTCGAAAAATGACCCATAGTGGGCGTTTCTTTAATAGCCAATCAGAAAACAGAGGTTTTCTCAAAAATATGCAGGTGAACAGGTATTTTAAATATTACTATTGTAATCTTCGAGAAATTTGTAAATTTTTTGATCTAGAGTATTTTGCTCTATCTCATAAAATAAAGTGGTGGGGAAAGGTTAAACTTGCTTTTATTAAAATAAGGATAACTCTGGTTTAGGTTTTGCGATTTAAACAAACTAGGGCTCGTTTAAAAAAGCTTTTCTTCCTTAATGATCTCCAGTATAAATTTTGTTTCCACAATTTTTTTTGTGGTACCTAGAGGGCGCTGTTTGACATCATAACAGATATTGCGCTTTTGCATAACAAAAATAAATAGGAGGCTATATTTCTCTTTGCATAGTTAAATAGAGCACAAAATTTCCAAAATATCAGCGCCAAACCGCAACTTTCTATTTTCTCTCTAACCGGAGATATTAAGAGAACAAATCATGTTAGGCTGCCGCTTGGTATTATATGGTCTAAAAATTATAGTAGTAGGCTAGGAAACAAAAAGAGGTAAATTGTTTAGGTCAAAATATCAAAACATATTTTAATTTCATTTTAATGCCATTTAATTATTATTTATCAATGTTCGTTCTTGATTCGACCCAATAATTAAAACCCAGGCATATTGAATCCGATGACCTAGCTGGCCATGGAAATATGCCGCTCCAGCGTCGCTATCTACTATAGTAAGTGGTATCCAAGAAGCCCCATACATTCATAGCAAAATAATCGGCACCACTGCCTCAACTACACCAACTGCATTCATGCTGATGAAATTGCATTTGTTGCAATTTCATCATGATGGATCCCCTAACAAAATTGGCAATTCATTTCTTAGAAATTATGGATAGTTCATTTCATTCACATAATTAAAAAAGTCCAATCATTTGCCATCCTAGAATTCTTGCGTAAACATTTACCGACCAACGGTCTTGGTGCTAAACTACTTGCATCAAGGGTAGATTTGGAACAGTAGTGCACATTGTTAAGATTCGCAACTTCGTTCGGTGCTATATGAAAAGTGACCCAAACGACATAAACTTTATAATATAATAATAAATAACACAAACAACAGGTAAAACACGAAAACAAGTGAAATCAAGGACGAACTTGGATTAATAACTAAATGACGTTACATGAAATAAACCCCTAGTTTTCGATCATACGAAATTCGATAGTTTTCTGTTAAAAGTAATATGGTGGCACAAAATTTCTAGAAATTTTAATAAAATGATTGTTTGTCCGACTTTCGAACATTTTAATCTGAGAACTACTTACGTATAATTAACCAATAAATTCGTGAAAATTATATGGATGGATGATAATCTTACATAAACACGTTTAAATAATTATGACGTCATTTTTTTTTAAGAAAATGCCCGAAATTCGGATGCATGAAAACTGAACTTAAACCTTTTGATATTTTGACGTAACCAATTTACCTCTTTTTGATTCCTAGCCTACTGCTATAATTTTTAGACCATATAATCCTAAGCGACAGCCTAACATGATTTGTTCTCTTAATGTTTCCGGTTAGAGAGAAGATAGAAAGTTGCGGTTTGCGCTGATATTTTGGAAATTTTGTGCTCTATTTAACAGTGCAAAGAGAAATATAGCCTCCTATTTAATTTATTTACGCAAAAGCGCAATATCTGTTATGATGTCAAACAGCGCCCTCTAGCTACTACGAAAAAAATTGTGGAAACTAAATTTATACGGGAGATCATTAAGGAAGAAAAGCTCTTTTAAACGAGCCGTAGTTTGTTTAAATCGCATAACCCAAACCAGAGTTATCCTTATTTTATTAAAACCAAGTTTAACCTTCCCCCACCACTTTATTTTATGAGATAGAGCAAAATACTCTAGATAAAAAAAATACAAATTTCTCGATGATTACAATAGTAATATTTAAAATACCTGTTCACCTGCATATTTTTGATAAAAATCCTGTTTTCTGATTTGATATTAGAGAAACATCCCCTAGCGGGCATTTTTCGAACTTGAAAATATTTTCCAGCGATTTCTCTTGGTCGATTTACTTATTAGATTTTTTCCCCCAAAGTTATACGATAAGTAGTTTCTGAGATAGAGCCGGCCTCCATTCTTAGTTGGCCACCCTGTACGTGTGCCTGCAGATCATATGTTAGCAAGATCTGTATTTGAAAAACTTATATACATTCAGGGTTTGCAGTTTTGTTGAAAATATTGTATGTTTATTACTTTAGCTTCACAGTTCAGCTGTTTTTACTTTCAATAAATAAAAAAAATATGTTTTAATTTCTATGGGTTTTTTAGTCAACTTTATATTTCTATTCAAAATATTCACAAAAAAATGCGTTTTACTTTATTTTTGTGTCCGTTCTTATTAATTTATTGAAAATGAATGATATTATTAATTCACAAGTTTGAATAGTGTGTTAAAATAACAAACTTTTTATAAAATATCTTCGGTATTTATTTTTAACTGAAAAAAAACATTTGGGGTCTATAGGACCTCAGAACGCTCTAAACGGTACAAAATTTCACCAACCCAGTTGAGGGTTAATAACTAATTTTAGACTAGTAGAAAACTCTAGACTAGAAACACTCACCCATCTGGGGTCCTTCCTTGTAATAAAAATCCTTGGAACGGCACTCCCAAACCCGACGTCAAAGTGACCACCACTTTGTTACCTTCTCGGCGCGGTGCCACGGTGTAGGGTGATATGCCCGCTTGAGGCTGTATGCCTCCGTGGAAGGGTACCATACTCTGGCATGCCGTGGTGGGAGCACCTTGGGGCAACGGCCACGCCACCTTGATGAGGCATAGCGACAGCAAAATCACGTGCATTCTGTACCGCATCTGAAAATGAAAAGAAATAATTGTAGATTATTGTTTTTTTATTATAGGTTTTCTTGGTTACTAGTGCATAAAAAGTTGAAGAAAACTGAGAAATGTGTTTAATAAATAAAGGTACTTATACGGGGTGCGTTTTAAAAGTGGCTCACCCCTGTAACTTTTTTATTTTTTCAGATAAAAAAAGGAAATTTGGTATGTTATATTACATAAATTAGGATTGAGTGACATATTCAATTGTTTTCGGTCACTTCCTGTTTCACCGAAAATGACCACAACTTTTGATTTTTAAATGGCACCCTCGGATTTTTTTACTTTATTCGATAGAAAATGACACTCTGAATAGAATGACATATCATATCCCAACTTTTGATATTCTCGCTTAAAAATCGTATTTCAATCTAGAGTTCCTACGTTAAAAACACCAATTTTTAATCAAGGAGCTTTGGAAAAATAGATCTGATCGTCTAATGTTTTTAGTGTCTTGTCCTGGCCAGTTAAAAGATGCCAAAATCGTATTTTTAATCATATTTATTTTTTTTTTCAAATGGAATGAAGGTGGCTCATTAGCATATTTGGACAAGGCATTTTTTAAGAACAATTTGATACCACACACTTGGTATTTCGAGTCAAATTGTCGTTGTAAACCGCATATTACAATCTCAAATAAACCATATGCAAAAATGTCAAAAGACATAAGATATGTCATTCTACTCAGAGTGTCATTTTTTATCAAATGTTAAAAAAATATCGCGGGTGCAATTTAAAAATCAAAAGTTGTAGTAATTTCCGGTGAAACTGGAAGTGACCGAATACAATTGAATAATTCTGTCAATCCTATGTCATATACTAACATACCAAATCTCATTTTTTTATCTAAAGAAATAAAAAAGTTATAGGGGTGGGCCACTTTTGAGACGCACCCGGTATTTTCATGTTAACAGAATATGAACGGTTTATAGTATACTAAAGTAATAGACATTTCTGCTAAAAAACTAAAGTGTTCTTGAACATTTGTATTTAGATATTATAATTTTTTCTTTGTTCTTTGTGTTAAAAAAACACAAAGAACGACTTCTGATGACAGAGGAAGATATACCTCCTGAAACTTTAAGCATTTTGTGCCGATTTTCTTTAAGTGGTTTGTTAATTTTTAAAATTATATATGTTGGAGACAGATGCCGAATTCGGCCTATGTCGGAAATAATTAGACATATTTTGGCGATTTGTCCATACTAAACTTGCCAGATGCGTGCAACTTCGTGGTTATAAATAGTCTTTATATAACTTCTTTGCGGAGGGGGTTAATTTTTTTTTGGTATAATATAACAACAAAAGATTAACACCCTCCGCATAGAAGTTGAAACCAATGCAATCAAAACTCTTCGGCGTAACTTTGTGGATATAGATAGGTAATTGCCTAACCTAACCTAACCACATAGGGAAGAAATATCTGACTAAGGCGCGGTCTCTTCAGTTATAAATAAATAACTTTTATCTAACAAATAACCATCTAAAAGATAAACAATCTAGAGCCTGATATCTGTAGGATATAACATTTGGGTATTTTCATACAAAATAATCCAATAGATAATTTGGAGGACGGCCGCCTACGGACCGGTAGACACTCCGTAGCCGTAGAGAAAGTGTTGCCAATATAAGATATCTGAAATTGAATTATTATTTATATATGAAAAGTCGATACAACAGACAGAGACAGAAACTCGGAATTTCAAATCGTTAGATTAAAAAGTGAGGTTATTGTTCAGTTGTCAAAAGATCGTCTAAATGAAAATAAAAACAATAAAATTCAACTAAAATATATTTTGTGTTCAACTCCAACTAGTCCTATTATGGTATAGGCTATTTAAATTTACCTTTATGGAAAAAGGGAAAGATAATTCAATTTCAGCAGTGGTGGTGGTGCAATAGATCTATTGATGGAATGCGATTTATAAGAAATTAAAACAAGAAAAAATAATCTGTAAGTAATTTATAGTTTAATTACATGATATTACTGTTATATTTATTATATTAACATTTTAGTACAATTGATAATAGAAAATATAGAAGAAACTGGTGAAGTGCAAGCAGAGATTTATAAACCAATCCTAAAACCACCATCTGGTAAGTTATTAATATTGAAAATTAAAAATAGCATAAGACTGTTAGTAAAAACAAATATATGTTGTTCTAGGGCTTCTCATAGTAAAGAAATAGGTAGGATAGCATCAATGATAGTAATTAAGGTGAGTTTTTATTTTATAAAATAGATAGCACTTATACTTTTGTCTTAATAATAATAAATGAATAGTACCTATAATAATTGTTACATTTACACATTATATGTACAAATTATTTAATAAAAAAAATTAAATAAAAACAATTTTGTCATATTACTTTTATTTTTAAGAACTCCAAGTGATGGAACTTCAAAAAAAAAGAAAAAATAAAGGAAAAATCTTGTCTAAACAAAATTGAACTAACTGGAATTCAAAGGACCACAATACAGATGTTTTATTAAGGTTTAGCTAGAGAGTTACTTAAAAAACAGCATGGAGAAGGGACGTACCGTATGATCGAAAAAAACGGCGTCAGCAATGGCTATGAAATAAAGATTGCTGTCATTTCATATGTAAATTTATATGGGAAATATAATCGATCATCATTTCCCAGCCAACTGGACGACGTTTTTTTTTCGATCATACGGTATAAGGTACATAGTGCAAGAAATTAAACTAAAATTGTAACACAAAAGAAATAAAAGCAAATGTGAGTTGAATAACAGGTTTTATAAGGTTCCTGTTATAATATAAATGAATTAAGATATGCGAATTAAAAATGAAATAAATAGTTTGATTTAAAAAGTTTTATTTATTTTTTACCTACTTTAGAGCTTTATTAAAAACTAGTTGAAGGCTGGCGCATCCGCCACGAGATCAGGAAAAAGAAACACTTTTTATTTTTTTTTTAATTAAATGAAAAACAAAAAATCCGGCGACGAGAGTTTTTAGAAGAGCCATTTAGCTATCTTTTAGTAAAAAAAGCAACTTTCTAGAGCAAGTCGTTACTTCAGTAGAGACGACACAGATAAACATTAGCATTTTATATAATATGTAGTAATGGTTTATAATTGAAAGGATTTAAATAAAATAATTTATAAATTACTGTTTTATCACTATTATCCGAACTTAATGCATTCTCTTCGTTCTGATGCTCTAACAGAACAGAGACTCTTTTTATTTTAACAGTCCTTATAAAGTCCGGCACTAGCAACAATAGTTTTTTGCACCATTTCAATGTGTTTATTGGTGTTTATACCCCATACGTTCTAAAATGATTATAGCCTACATATTCAGAATAGGTAAGTCTTTTCCAAATAATCTAAAATCGAATTTATTGGAATAAACGAAATCTTCAATAAGAACAATGTCTTGGTTATGTTAAGTAATTTTGTCAAATATCAAATAAAATCAATATCTCCTCATGCCTTTGCTCATGCGTCAAATTTTTATCCGACAAATAAAGCACTATTTGGCAGTTTGGGCGCCAGATAGGATATCTGGGAGATAAGTTTAATTTATCCAATAGATACTGTTATCTATAGGTGAAGATACGCGTTTTTCTGCTATCCGTCAAATAAAATATATCTGGCAGATTATAACACGCTATCCTTACCTGAAAACACCGGGGGTAAACATTATAAACACTACTATATCCTAGACGTATCCTATTATAGTTTACTGAAATTATGCTCAAAAAAAATCCTTAGCACGAAAGCTTTGGGTTAGTTTTGATTTCTTCTTTTCTATGAATATGTTTTTTGGGTGCTCTATTCGAAACTGAGATTTGCGAATTCATTATAGTGGAAGAATCTTAAACAAAATAAAATAAAGAAATATAAATTTGATTTGTTCGTGGTATTTTACTTATAACTCAAAAACTATCAACTTAAATAACCCTTCTTTCTATAATTCTGGGTCAAAATCGCACTTGTTCTACTACCCCACAACAGGCAAATATTCATTCGCAAAAAGCTGAAGAGGATCACGATATCCTTATTATCAAAAAAAAGCGTATAAGTTTGCCTCATTAATTAAATTAATTTATTAACAGTAGTGGGAAAATATATCTTTTGGTGGTTTTGATTGTTCCGGATTGCATATAGAAATACATGGAAAATGGTAACAGAATCGTAGAATTTTCTTATTAGAGAAATTACAAAAAGAAAAATTTCTCACAAGAAATGCATCTCAAACACTAGCTGATCCTCATTTTGGAGCCGACAAAACTGTCAGATCATATACTGATTCTACACACAATAATTGATTGTGAAAAAGAAAGGATTTTTTTTTAAATTCTTATAGAAAAATAATGCAACTGCTTGCAACCAAATACTAATGTTTTCAAAGATCACTTATACCAGAACGAGACTGCCGAAGTTGGAAATATATTTCTTATAGCTCTATATACCGGGTGCGTCTCAAAAGTGGCTCACCCCTATAACTTCAGGTGAAAAAACGAGATTTGGTATGTTAGTATACGACATAAATTAGGATTAATAATTGAGATATTCAGTTATTTTTGGCCACTTTCAATTTCACCGGAAATTACTACAACCCTTGATTTTTAAATAGTACCCTTGGTATATTTCTACTTTATGCGATAGAAAATTACATTTTGAATAGAATGACATATCATATATCAACTTCTGACATTTTCGCATATGACTTATTTGAAATTGTAACATGCGGTTCATAACGGCGAACAATTTGTAACAATTTGACTCGAAATACCAGGTGTGTGGTTTGATTTGTGTGGTTGGTGTGAATGAGCCACCCTTGTTCCATTTGAAAAAATTAAGATATTGTCAAGGTGTATTACTGGTTGCATAACTGCATACTGCTAAAATCGCAATGTGCTTTGAGGAACCTGGCGCATTCGCCAGAAAGTGAAGAAAATTATAGAATTCTTGAGAAAAATCTAGAAACAACCGCCAGGGGGTA